TTGAGGGCACAGTTTGGAGGTGGAGTCGCACAGGACATTTGAAAAAGTGGGACAGCAAAGTTTCACTATAGCCCACAAGGAAGTAGAATTTGTGTGCAGGCAACTGCCTCAGGACCAGGGCACAGATCTCCAACTGGTTAGCCCGGCGTTTTATAACCAGCTCGTCAGCCAGGCAGCCTGGGAAGGTACCCCACATGAACTTGCGAAGGAAAACATCCTCCACCGTTCGCTCTGCGGCATGGTCCTCCCCATCCAGGTTACCTTGGCGCAGACCGCGGAGGTGTGCAGGGCGCGCCAAGTGCAAGGCGGCTCTCGGCTACAGGACAGCACCCTTGGCCTCAGCAACCCGCTGCGCACGGAAGCCGCCATCTTAGGCTGCCCCCCATCACAGGAGTTTTAAACAAACAAACGAATGAATTAAATGGGTTGAGTTCGTTTTCTGTTTAGGGTGAAAGCTACATGATACAAAGTGATCTCAAAGTGCCTTATGTGAATTATCTCACAAGTTGACTTGTGATCCATAAATACACTCTGTAATTGCATACAGTGTGACTGCAAAGATACTTTCATAGCACTTGACCATTTGTTATTAAAATTCCCATCCATTAGCAGCTCCTGCTTATTGCATAATACCAATAGGTCTTGTAAAACACACATTTACAGGAACCACAACAGTGTTACTAAAGATCATGCTTCAGGCTTGTAAGAATTCCACTGTGAACAAAGATGAGCTATGAAATCACGGGTCTGAAAGCATCATATCTGACCAGGGAACTTACAATGCAAAATCACGGATGCTGCCCCACATGTTGCTATGGAAATTTTCCAAGAAAACAACTTTAACTTAATGAAATATGCTTTCTAAAAACTAAAATTCATTGAATTAGTCAAGTTCTGTATAACTCAAAGTTATTTGTGAGATGATCCCTGACTGGGAATATTCCTGTATGAACCAAAGGTAGCTTGCTTTCTTCCAGATAAAAACCTTTAGGAAATCTGTGAACCCTTTCTCTTCTGTTCACAAGTCAACAAACAAAATAGGATCTAAGGCTCTCTTATTTTAAGGCCCATCGAAGAGATCATCAAACTGTGAAACGTCACTAAACACCTGTTTTGAAGACACAAACACGCAGGTATAGCCATAAAACAAATACATATAAAACAATCCAAAAAATTGATAGTAATTTAAGTTTTATGAGACAAATATATGTTTTCCCTGAGTCAAAGAAACTGTAAGCCTAAAAATTATCTTATGCATACTGGGATAATTACATAATATTAAGGTTAGGTTTTTCTGCCATGACTCTGCTTTTGATAACTGATGCCTCTGATAAAAGATGTAAATTAGGTTAGGCTGATGAAATAGTATACTCCTTAATTCATAACCTTCAAAATCATTAAAAATTGGTATATTGGTACAGAGCTTTTGAGAAATTTCCAGATTCTCAAGTTACAATAAAAATGCCATTATAATTTTAAAAGTAATAACTCTTTCCTTCAGACTGACATTCTGTTTACTTACAGACTGTCCATTTATCCCCCGGGGGTCTTCCATTGAAGACTTCTTCTGAATTATGTATGGGCTATTAGCTACACACTTCTTCAAAGGGTTCCAACACCCCTGCACCTGTGAACAACAGAGCATCATGCAGTCGTATTAATTGTGTGGCATGCAATTCAGAGCTGGTCTTCACATCTGCAGCTTTCCATTTACCAGCATGTATACACAAGTCAAGAACACTTACCTTCACTGAATGAATCTTTAAAATAAATATTATGGGCTCACTGTTTATCACAATTTACATGAGCCAAATGTGGCCAAATTATAGCTCAGTTGTGCCTGCTGTCAGCAGCTGCAGCCCAAGGAAAGAAAGGATGGTAGGGGGGCAGGGCAAGCAGCTAAAGAGCTTTCTGCACACGTTATTTTTGAGCCAACAGTATAAGAGCTTTTTTTCTTTTCTTTTTTCTTCGTTTTGAATTTAGTTTCTCCATGCTATCTATCAACATCAGCTGCACCACAATGCAAAGAGGAAATACTAGCAAAGAAATATGATTGTAGTCTGAGCAAGGATGAAAGAGAAAAGCTAGCGTTGAGTGTTTTACCCTTAGGGCAAGGATATTATTATACTATTTCTTAGCAAGTTTACATTAGGTCACAGTTTCATGGATGATCAAGTCTGCACCTTCAGACTCAACACCTTCAGGAAGAATGGGTTTGGGGGATGCTTCAAAACATGGACAACAAATGTGGTATTTTAAAATAAATTTCTACATGTAGCTATCTTCAAACAGATAATATAGCCATCCAAATGCCACTCTAATTTCCTAACTTTCAGAATTAATTTGTGTGCTCATACTCAAATGAGGTACTCAAAAGATACTCTCAGGCTTTCTTGCTTGGGCTTGGCAACTGAGAAATTATTCACCTCTCACATAAACACTAATGCAGATATTTAAGTATACATGTAATTTTAAGCAAAAAAGTCAAGTGCAATCTTAATATTACCCAAGATAAAATTACACAACAGAGAACATGTAGTAGTGCAATTTCAGTATCACTTTTTATAAAAATACTTGAATTTCTGCATGCTCGCCTGTTAGGAAAGCTACTGCAGTGGGTGGAAGTCAAGAGATTTCAATTCAAGTTTTGACTCTGTCACTAAACAGCTGAATGATCTCATGTGAATAACAGAGGCTGTCTGAATCTCAGTGGTCTCATCTGGGAAATGAGAAATTTCAACTGAATAGTATCTTGCAGCTTTATATTTTACACAACTATTTCATATTTTATAATTTCATATTTACACACATAATTTTCAGGTAAAATATTCCAAGCATGGTTTATTTAAGAAGTAATTTTTAAGTCCTAGGAGAATTCTCACTTGTTTGTTTTGCTCATTATCAATGCTGCAAACATATGCCCAATCCACTGTCAACATAAAGTTGATGCTTTTGGACAACATAAAATGTAAATAACTGGATTCTTAAAATTTAGAGAATTTACTACTAAAGCACTATGTTTTTGTGATTTTAACAAGAAACAATTTTGTAATGTCAAGCTGTGAGTAAATAAAAATCATATAAATGTATTCATGGTATGTCACACCAAAAAAAATAACACTCTATTTTGAATTTTACACAATTGCAGAACAGAATCTTAAAATTCAACAGCATCGCTTTTAGAGGATTCTTTGCATAATTAGGGAAGAGATATTACAGACTATCCTGGACTGTTTTCATTGCTTAAGTTACTCTCAGGAGGCACATTAACTGTTCCAGGCACCAAGGTGGGATTTTAAAATAATGATAATAATCCTGCCTTACATTGGCAAAAAGCTTTACAGTTGACCAAGTGCTTTCACATAAATTGCCCACAGTGCACCTATATGAGGTAAGACAAAGCCCAGTCTCATTCCTCACAGAAGGGAGCAGGTCTAAGACAAAGCCGCCTCTGAGTTCCCATAAATTCCCATCCTCTCCATACCTGTTCTGTGAACACGTTTCAATCAAAAGCTGTACATTTGATATTCCAGGATTATTTCCCATGTGTTTCTTTCCCATATTTCCATATTGAACTTACTGAACAGTTTAAGGTATTAAGAATGGTCAAGTTACATGAGCATAAAAGGTATTTCATTTGTAATTTTATTTCTGCTGAAGATGAAACTATTCTGTACCAAATTTCATGTTTGTTACTGTTTCCTGGGCTAAAAAGAAACGACAGATTATTGAGAAGTCGAAACAGTCAGCATTCATCGACTTCAGGTAGATGCCTCCAGTAAAAAAGACTACCACTCAAGACTCAAAAAATTACAGCGAGCCATGGACTTTATTTACAAATCCTCCAGTGCTTGCTAAATCAGTATAGTTGTTTCCAGATTTCTACATGTCAATCCAAACGATGAAATATATGACATGACTGGGTCTACTGATATTTAGGAGCCTGGCTCTGGTAAACCTTTAATTCCCTTGCTGGACTTGATCTTTCATGGTTTATAAATAAGCCTGTCTCCATTATAGCACTCATCTAGTGGGATTGCAATTATTTCTTTACCTGTCTCTCCCGCTAGACTGCAACTCCAAGAGGGATAAGACCATGCTTTACTCTCTGGCTCTAGTCACATCTGGCACTCATTAAGTATTTGGAATGAATGAATAAAGTAAATAAATAAATGTTGTTGATACATGACAACTTTTGAATACTTGTAAACCTTGAGCTAGAATTAAGTGGGCAGTTAAATGGTGGTGCCATCATTCAATCAACTTAGAAAACATCCACCAAATTTCTGGCCCGGAGGTTTATTTCGAGCATCCTAAGAAACAGGTTCAAGCAAAACTGGTGACTTGATGTTTATCTGTCACCTACCTACCTGCCTACCTACACGCGTAGAGAGTAGTCTATGTCATCAAACTGTATAGACATACACATAAGCATATATGGAGGTGAACTTAGATGTGAACTTCTTAGAGGCTTTGTTTAAACCTAGGAGTGGTTTCTAGAAAAGGAGAAGACTATCCAGGTAGGATAATCTAGGTATAGATTAGGTAGGGGGACACACTGATAGAGGATTAGTGGGATGACGTTTGTTTGGGGAGATATGTGGAGTACCAGAGGCAGCTGCCTTGGTGTCAGAGGTGCCCCTGCAGACAGGTGCCATAAGTCTAGTGGCTGTTACCCATTCATAGACCAACACTTGTCAAAGCAGGAAACGGGGTTAATCACTCACTTACACATCTACCCAAAATGGCCAAATCCTTTACTTACCCACTTTTGAGTCAACTATGATAGTACCCTCCAGAGCAGGGGTGCCCCTTGGAGTTGTACACAATGGAATCCTACCCTTCTATTGTCCACTGAAGTGAAAGTTTTCTTCATAAAGAAACTAGGACTAAGAGGCATCTAGGGCCCCACCTACCAAGTCTAACATTCTGGGTTATTCACCCTAAGCATAGAGGAAAAGCCCCTTCCTGAAATGTACTGCATGATCCCCTTAAGTAGAAAAAAAAAAGGGGGGGTCAGCTGAAAAAAAAAAACACTGAGAAAAAGCTGCACAGTGTTAGGCTGGACATGCATTTAATGATAGCCCAACTCTCATATTTTGTAGCTATATGAGGCTACCTAAGAAGAGCAGAAAGTGGCATGTAGCCCCTTCCAAGGCCTCCACAACCCACAGGAGACATAGTAGGGGCACCCATAGCTCCAGGTGGTAGAGCTCCTGACTGGCATTTATAGTACCAAGCCAGATGACTGCATGGGCATCTGTTGCTGAGCAGAATGGGCAGGCGGCATGAGGAAGAGCAGAAGGCCTCCTAGACAACAAGGAAAGAGGAATGATGTCCACGTTTGAATGGATGTTTCCAAAACCTTAGGGA